GTTTCGTGAAATGGTGCCATTTCATGATATTTATCACTGTTTCTTGACCATGACATATGTAGCTTAGCCAAACCATTGAATAGAGATCGCTTAACGACATTAATAAATAAACACAACATTGCTATTTAATGTAGTCATATCATCAAATTGTTTTTCACTGCTAGCGGCGCTGATAGCGTGTTTTTTTTAACAGAAACAGATTTTTAACAGAATCAACATCACTTTGTGCCTTTTTATATAATAAATAAATGTTCGCTGCTTTGGGGCGGCACTTCAGCCAGTCTCACCCCAAGCTTCTATAGCTGATATTACTTGATAGTATAATTTTGCCTTTCATAGTATTAATGTAATAGGTATAGCGCACTCTACTTTCTGCTAAATAAATAAGTGATAAGTAACTGATAAAATTAAATTTTAGAACGCTACTGAATACCAATAAGATTTTTGTACTGTAGAGTTTTCATATTATCAGACAAATCATGATATTTGTGATAGAACAGGCTGCGAAAAAATACTTTAAATATCAGACAGATAAGATAGCAGATTTCACTTAAACAAAGGTCTATTTTATTTTACTTGTCAAAGGCGGTAAGCAAACTGATACAAACGTTACTTAAGCCGACCAGACTCAAATAATCCTTATTTATATATTCGCGAATAACATCGTTATATGCGGTACGTAACTCAGGAGATGCCTTAAACTTTTTTTCTAAACAGTTAAAACGCCTAAGTGCTATGCTATATGAGTCACCCAAAGAGAAGGGGTCATTATTAAACGGTAATGACACTATATATCTACCACTGTCGTCACGAACAGTAGTAGCGCGAAAATGTTGTTCACACTCAAGGTCGCACTGACTTAGAGTGGGTGGCGCGGTGAAGTCCTCTAGATCCCAAAATCGCTTCAGAAGTCAATCTATGGGGTCTCGAACGACGGAACAACAAGAGGTTGTATATTTGGAAATATGTGAAGTAGATACAGAGCCCATACTTACATAACCCAGTACCAGTCTCAATTGCAGGAGGTATATTACGGTTACTGCTATGTCCTACATTAGGCAGTAACAAATGCGGAAAAATAGATGCATCCAATGATATATCTATGGAACTTGGGACTCCAAACTCCGAGTCCGCAAGCGGCAATGTCGTTAGGCGCGAAAGCGCGCTTAAGTCAACAGGAGCTGAAGGCGTTATATCCGTAATGCGATCGACAACAAGCATTGTAACATTAAAATGTATGTCCCTTTCAAAACAAAAATGTATTTTTATATTTATAGAACCCCAAACGGATTTTTCCAATCCACCGATTCCTATAATTATTATGTGTGAATTTTCACATCGGCCTATCATAAGGCGGCTTGCTGACGGACGTTGTACACAGTGACTGTGTAGCCGGCGCCATTGTCATACTCGGGCTTAGGTTCGTGAGATTTTGTGATTCGTTATTTGGGCGCGCGGTATCACGAGTATTGTTATTGTTATTCGAGACTTTATCAAAATGCAACATAGTATGGTGTCGTTGGTTACACGACCGACATTTCGTATTTGAAGAACTAGCGCCCGTCTTATGCTTTATACTTAGACAATTTACACAAGCGTTGTTATCCTTTATACATTTAAAACGTTCAACAGATGTCATTTTACTAAAAGAGGGACATTTGTTATGAGGCAGCGACAAAAACATTTTAAAAATAATTTTATTTCATACTTTTATACTAGCTTAAAATATAGTAGTTGATACAGAGAATTTGGTAATGGAATTGTACTGACGGATCTAAAGATTTGGTTTAAATAGTATAGGAATAGGAAGCTAGGAGGTGGGGATAAACATAAAGGAACAACATTTTTCTTGGTGTTATAGTTAACTTATGGTAAACTATAATTAGCATATAATATTACAATCGAATTAGTGTGGCTTCTAAGAATGTAAACAATATGTTTTATAAAGTATACAGGTCTTATTACATAAAGTAAATAGTATCCTATGACATAATATTAGCTTGGCTTCTAAAATAGTAATTTAGTAAATAAACAATATAAAGTATACAGGACTTATAATATAAAGTAAATAGTATCTATTCCATAACATCTCCCCCCTTAGAACAAAGATTGAGCGGTTTTGCTCGATTTTTGAGTGTAGTCAGCAGCTTCGTCTTCGTCTTCTGATATACAGAATGTTGTAGCAGTGGTGTTAAATGATGATATGGAAATCTCAACGTGTTGTCGGCGACGAGAACGGTCAAAGAAATTATTAAAAAATTGTATACCGTTACCATGTGGATTTGTAGGTATGTTATTCCATGGCAAGCGTTTATAACATTTATAACAAAAATATGTTAGCATAATGATGCCAGTAATCGTACTTAATATGGAAAATTTTGTTACATGTTTTTCTAAGAATGTTTTTTATAGGTTAAGGGTAACAAACGAGCACACAGTCCACCTGATGGTAAGTGGTTGCTGTGGCCCATAGACATCTACATCTATCTTCAATTACAAATCAAAATGCAGATGCGTTGTCACCTGTGAGGACTAAGATGGAATGCCTCATTTCCAGTAAAAAGGTTATCCGGTTCTCTACACTCACCATACGGAACACAGCAGCGTTAAGCTGCTATTTTACGCTGGCATTCTGTGAGAGCGTGGTCCTTCCCCGGTCGAGCCGACCCATTCGAGCTACAGCCATAATATAGGTGCAGCATGCTCTACCACGTGGAAAATTATCTTCAAGCTATGTTAGTTTTATAATCTTCAAGCAATTTTGTGTGAGTTTTTATTTGTTCTCTAACTGAGTTAAGAGAGTAGAGTTAAATGTTGTTGAGCTGGATTGGTGCAAGTTCTGGTTGTTGCAGCTTAATTTCATCTGGGACGCAAATGTGTTCAATATCCACATAGATAAAAGGATGGCTTATATATATAAAGTACTGCTGTCTAGTGGTACTCATGGCAAGATATGTTTGTTCGGAAAGGATAGTAGAATATAAGGAAGAGTCAGGATGTAGGATAGGGATAGAATATGAATAGAAGGGTGTATTACATTTGATTTAATGAAAAGTATGCTTGTAATGACATCATAGATATCTCTTTCCAAAGAAACTATAGTTTGAATTGGAACGGTGGATATTATATATTATTATACCGGTGACCCTTTTTACTAGTAATGAGGCATTCCATCTTAGTCCTCACGGGTGACAACGGATTTTGATTCGTAATAGAGGATAGATGTAGATGTCTGTGGGCTGCAGCAACCACTTACTATCAGCTGGACTGTGTGCTCGTTTGTCACCCTTATCCAATAAAAAAAAATATTTGTTCAAAAATAGTTAAATTAGATATGTTTGTTTGTTGAGGTAAAGTATGAATTTATTTTTCTAATATCTTTGTTAATAACGTATTTAGCATAAGAGATTTTATGTAATGTTTCATTAAAATTCGTGATCGTTGAAGAAATAATTTGTAATTGTTGTTTTAAGAATCGTCTGGAACACCAATGAGCCATTTCAAATTGAACATAAGCCGTCTAGTATTTCGCGTGTGGATCGCTTGTTGTCAGTGTAAGAATTAAGTTCGTCGAGTCTAGAATCTATTCTGTCTATGTTTATTTTTATAAATGAAGTAGTAGTTATAACGGTAGGTAAATTTGAAAGTTATTTATAGTCGTTTGATAGAGTTACGAGCTAGGAATATATCTAAAATTACGATATACGACAAATTTCCAGGAATTTTCAGATATTAATATTTCACCATTGTTTTGAAATAGAGTCCAGAATTAGGAGGAATAGGACTTATGTGGGTAATCAACAAAAGTTATGGAGTACCTGAAAATAAAAATAAACCTAGTTAGTTGTTTTGACTTCTTTTAAACTTAGTTACATAATAATTCTTAGAAAACAGATAAAATTTGTATAAAATGATGTGAAGTAATAATGAAAAAAAAAAACAAATAGTAAAATTAATGTATGAGTTATTTATAGAATATAAAAGATTTTCAATTAAACTAAGGGTTTTATTAGGGTGTGCCATTATTCGAGCCACCCTGAAATAGATTTAAAATTAAATATTTATGAATAATTACGATCTAGTCTTAGGATAAAATGTTATGATTATTATAAGTCATGCAATGGCCTTAAGCGATTCGCATGCACTATTTGGTTTTTTCCAGATTTTTGTATAATATAATTTTCATTAAAACCTATTCTAACAATAACATGAGGCCCGTCCCATAGGCTATTTAAGTTGTTTGGATTGGAGCCTTTAAGCACAACTTTATCTACGTTAAATTTGGCTATATTTTTAATATTGCTGTCGTATCGCTCTTTTGCCTTTTCTTTCATTGAATCTACATTTTGGCGGGCTATGTGCCGTGATACCTTAAGTCTTTAGTTTGAATCTCGTAGGTAGTCATGAGTTGTATAGTCGTCGTTTGCTTTTAAAGAATAAAGAGAACGCGGTTTGTAACCAAAGATTAATTCATGCAGTGAAAATTTTGTGGACTGATTAATTGATGTGTTATGGCACGTAACGGCAAGTGGCACAATTTGATCCCAATTAGATTGATTACTTTTGTGGTACATTCGGATGTGATCGCGTAATGTTGCGTGGAATCGTTCTAATGAACCGTTAGTTTGAGGACGATATGCGGTGCTAACTGTGTGGTTGGATCCTAGTAATTTCATCAATTGTTTGATCACGCTTTTTAGAAATTCTGTACCTTGATCGGAATAGAAACGTTTAGGTACACCGTAATGATGACAGAAAATTAAAAGGGATTTGGCTACTGTAGTTGCCTTGTTTGTATTGAATGGGGTATGCTTGAACAAAACGTGTTAAGTCATCTTGTAATGTGAGTATATGCTTACTAAAGTCATTAGTTATGTCTGAATATTTATTTATTTTCACATATTGTGATTTTGCAAGCTTTTAAGCTGTGATATGTAACTGTCCGTTTCCTTTAAGTTTACAGGTGGGGTCGTTTTTTAGATTTGGAATGTAAAGTGATTTTAATTTCTGGTTGTGTAGGCAAGCGAGTAATATTTTAAAATAGCTTTCGGAATCCCAAGGATCGCAGTGAGTGGGTCTCGAACAGCCAAATATAATTTTTTTTTCTTATCTGAAACTAATAAATCGGTTTCGTAAAGTGTTTTTGGTTTATTTAAATATGGGTCCACTTGAGAGCAAGTGGAAATTGCTTGGTTGAAAAGGGTATTTTTATCGGAAAGTTGACAGGAGACTGGGATAAGAATGTTTTTGTGACGTTCGTTCAAGAGGCAGTCTGGTGAAATATGGAGACATAGAGTATTAAAAGTGTGATAGTCGATTTCTAAGTAGTGTTGAAAGTTTAGTTGTAAATAGTCTTCTGAAGTGCTTGAGTCAAGATGTGTGTTTTTGTCGCTATTTGTCGGATTATTTATGCTCGCGCGGAGAATTGGTGGGCGTGAGAGAGCGTCTGCGTTAGTATTGTTTTTACCTGCTTTATATACTATTTCGTATTCGTACTCTTCGAGTTTAAGTCGCCAACGAACTAACCGACTACCGGGGTCTTTTATCGAGAAAAGCCATGTTAGCGATTTGTGGTCAGTTACTATTTTAAATTTCCTACCAAACAAACAGGGTCTAAGATGTTTGACTGCCCAAACGATAGCTAATAACTCTCTTTCGATAGTGGTATAGTGGGATTCAGATTTATTGAGGGTTCGAGATGCATATGCTATAGGCAAGTCCTTGCCTATTTCACCTTGCGATATCAAAGCACCTAAGGCGTTTATCGAAGCGTCTGTGGTTAGTATGAATTCCTTTGTGAAGTTAGGATATTGTGAGATTAGAGGGTTAGTAAGAAGATGTTTATATTCATTGAAGGATTGTTGTTGGGTTTCGCCCCATATGAAAGCAGTGTCCTTTTTAAGAAGGCTAGTTAAAGGTTTAGTGAGTTTACTGAAGTTAGGAATAAACTGACGGTAGTATCCTGTAAGACCTAGAAATGCTTTTATATCTTTACACGATTTAGGAATAGGGAATTCATGAACTGCCCGTATTTTATCGGGGTTCGGTTTAACGCCTTCGTTGGAAAGGATATGGCCAAGGTAGGCAACTTGGCGTCTAAGAAATTCACATTTGTCTGGTTGGATTTTTAGGTCATATTTTCTAAGTCTAGAGAAAACTTCTTCAAGTTTTTGTTCACGTTCTTGAAGGCTAGAAGCAAATACTACTATGTCGTCGAGGTAAACGAAACATCTTTTACCTTGTAAGCCACACAAAACGGAGTCCATTACACGCTGAAACGTCGCTGGCGCGTTTTTCAGGCCAAATGGCATTCTTTTATATTCGTAATGGCCATATGGAGCACTAAAAGCTGTTTTAGGCATATCTTTTTGATTTACTTCTAACTGACGAAAATCTGAGGCGAGATCCAATGTGATAAAATATTGAGAATAACCTAATTTGTCTAGAATGTCTGTGATGTTGGGAAGAGGATATCTGTCTCATACTGTGACTTCATTTAACTTGCGGTAATCAATAACTAATTGCCTGTTTCCGAGATCTGTTTCCCAGATGCGTCTAGTTTTTTAGGAACAACCCATATGGGGCTACACCAAGGAGGTGAGCTAGGTCTGATAATGTCTTGGTGTAACATTTTTTGGACTTGTGATTTTACTTTTTGTTCTTGTACTTGAGGAAAGCTATACATTTTCGTGTGAATTGGAGTGTCAGTAGTGGTGGTAGGTAATTGATGTTTTGTATGATTGCTAAATGTAAGTGAGACGCCTTCGATGAAAAATATGTCGTTATAATTGGAAACAATTTTATCTAATGAGTTCGACTCTTCTTCGTTTAAATGTTCGCATCTAATAAGGGTGAGTACTTGGTTTTGTCTATCGGTGTCAGATGTGTGATTAAGATTGTTAATTAAGTGGTTATGAATGTTGTTTGTTTGTTGATTTGGTTGGTAACGGAGAACTTTGATATTTGGAATGCTAATTACTTTTTCGGATTTGTTTGTAGTTACACAAGCGATAATAAATGAATTGTTTTTAAATTCGACTAATGCATTGGGAATAACAAAACCGTTATCTATTATTTGTTTTTTGACTATTGCTGTCCCGGAATTTATATTGTTTGTTCTATACATAATTACACTCTAAGAGCGGCTAGAAAGAAATTGGTTATTAGAGTCGATTATATTTTGAAGATTTTCGTTTAAATAATGTAAGGATCTGTCACGTATTCTCATAGTTTTGGATTGAATGTAAATGCTGCAATTATTCTTTATCATAAAATTTTTACCCAGTATACCGTCTGGTTTGATGTTAAGGGAAGCGACATGGAAACGATATTTAGGTAGGTAATCTAGAGATATGTCGGTGGTGCCTGAGATTGTATGTTGTCGTGAATTGAGTTTTGACTACCGGAAATGCCTACGATTGACACGATTTTTAATTTATTTAAGGGTGATGAACCTATTTTATCGTTTTTTTATAACCGAGATCCCTGCTCCGGTATCTGTGACTGGTTTGCCTTCAGAAACTTTTTTATTCAATATAGATTATAAATAATACTTATTGAAAGTCACTCTTTTGTTTGATTACCACTGGTTCGGAAAAAACCTCTGTCCTAGTATTTACAGAATGAATATCACTTATTTTTGTAAAACTACTTTTATTTCTGTGTACGTATATTACATTTTCATAAATGTATTGAGAGGCCAAAGTTAATATATTAATTTCCTTATATTTTTGTCGCAGCGACTCTTTAGGTTTTAAATCATAAATTTCTCTTATGGCCCTCTTCTGTAAAACAAATATAATTTCAGTGGCAGCTGCGTGTCCCCATAGCAAAATACTATACGACATTAGGCTATGGAAATAGCTAAAGTAAACTAGTCTAGCTGTTTCAACACTGATTAGACTTCTAATCTTTTTTACAGCATATACTACAGAACTAAGTCTGCTTGCTAGTTTTGATATATGGGGGCTCCATTGAAGCTTCGCGTCTAGTGTGATTCCAAGAAAAATGGTGGTATCTACAAGACCCCTTGTGAAACCAAATTGATTTTTATGAAGTAAATTATTTATATTAAAAAAATTTAACATTTGATCAAGAACAATTGTTTCAAAAATCTTACTAAGTGTGGGTAGTACAGATATAGGTCTAAAATTGGCGGGGTCTAATGTACTACCAGATTTAAATAAAGGTATTACTTTACTCGTATGCTTTATTAAATCAGGAAACACACCAGATTCCATACTAGTATTAAAAATAATAGCTAATTGAGGCGCAATTGTATCTATTATAGACGCAATAACTTTAACGGAAATCCCTCACAGATTCGCAGTTTTCTTAACATCAATAGTTTTAAAATATTTTACAATATCTTTTGATGACACTTTATGAAATGTAAAATTCTTCTATGTGAAAAGTGCAGTTTAAGAGGTTATTGGGTGGTACATCATTTAAGGCATATGGCAAAAGATTTTGTGTTAGATTTGGATTTAGGAGGTTTTAATTTAGGCGTTTTAGTTTTGGGTTTTGATTTCAAACGTGGTTTATTGGAAACAGTGGAATCAGTGGATATGCAGTGGCCTTGAAAGAATCAGTGGATACAGTAGGTGCAGTTGTCATGAAAGAATCAGAGGTTGTAGTAGAAATAGTAATAATAGAGTCAGTTGATGTAGAAGGAATAATAAGCTTTGGAAAACCAAGGGTTTGGGGCTGGCTACCCTGTTCGTAGGTTTCCGTTTGAGAACTAGAACTTGTGAGTACTGAGTGATATGTAGTAACTAAGTCACTAGTTTGTGTAGACGCATTTTTCAATTGTGTCTGATACTTAAGCGTTGATTTGGAAGGTACATTGTTTGTTTGTGTAGTGCGGTCTCGATGGTTTGGCGGTTGAAGACATCTTCGAGAAATAGGATTCGATTTGCTAGAATTTATATTTGTAGTTTCTCGATATCCTGAGTCGGGATTGGTGAGGAGGATACCGAAGCGATTTCCAACGAGTAGCTCGTCTTGTTGGTCACTTGGTAGTTTGAATGGTTAACTGGGATAGGAGGTACAGGAAGTGCGGGTTGGGCTTGATTATTTCTTAAATTGTTATTGTAAGCTCTTTTTCGGCATTCTGTAATATTATGACCAATATTTTTACAATAGCTACATAGTTTCGTAATTTGTTGTGGTGTGTTTGCATTATTGTACATGGTGAGTGTAAACGGTAGATGAGTTCGACTTATATATATTATTATGAGGAGTATCTATATAGTTTTCTAATCTGGTTGGGCTGTAAAAATATATAATTGTAAATGAAAATGATAAACATACATAAATATCAACAAAATAAAACAAATATATAAAAATACATAAATAAATAAAAACCCAACCAGATGGAAGCCCTCGGCAGGGAGACCAAACGGCCGAGGGTTAGGGGGAAAGGGAAAGAAACCGGCGGACGATGCGGGCGGTATCAAAGAACACCACCTTCTGCATTTGAGCTTGGAGCGGTCCGTCACGGAGTCCCAGTCGCCTCAGATGACCCGAAAGGCTGACTGGGATTAACCCGTTTGCAGAAACGACTACAGGTATAATTTCGGCCGGCAGTCCGCCCCACATGTTGGTCACCTCGTGAGCGAGGTCCAGATATTTTGTACACTTATCTGCTTCAGCTTTCACAAGGTTCTCGTCATACGGAACGGTGATGTCGACCAAAAATTATTATTATAATTATGTTTATGGTATGGTGGTTTTGTAAAAGTTGGTGGACGCGCTGTGTTCAGTTTAAATAAAGATTGCCTAGCTTTGTTCATTGCGCGAATTTTATCTTCTTGAAGTGCGAATCGGCCTGCTTCGCAGACTAGGAAATGCTTTTGTTTTCAACATTGCTCCAATGTCGGAGCTAATGCCATTAATAAAAACGTTAAGAGCCGTTCCCTCCGTTGTCGCTAAGCGACCTAATAACGTCTTATCGCATATTTCAGCGTTTAATTTTTCAATTATTTTAGAGCGACTAAGGGCAAATCTGTGCAAATATTCGGTTAACGTTTCTGTAAGTTTTTGTAACATGGATTGCAGTTCAAGGTTAAGGTGTGCTATGGTTTTAACGTTAGAGAATTTTTCAATAAGATATGTTCTTAAACCGGTCCATGAGCCATGTTCTTTACTGTGAACGTCTGCCGCACCCGAACCAGCGATATTGTTTAACGCGTATACTAAAAGTACTGAATTCGGGTTCGCTGAACTTAAGTCGAAAGCTGAATTGCATGACCTAATTATGTATTATGTATTAAATATACAAATGTATAATTTAATACGTAATAATAATTTAAATTTGACATATAATTCTAATGATAATAATCATAAATTTCATGTAATTGACATAAATAATTTAATAAAAAAGTTTTGGACAAAAGATAGGTATTACCTATCCAAATATAATTTAAGACTGATAGCAAATGTGCTATCTTATTATTTACTTTTTAACTCAGCCAAGTTTTTGGCTACCAAGACTGCTTTTATTGAGCATAATCATTTGACATTTAATTTGGAATCAGTTCCAACTAATTTAAATTAGTGAATGTGACAATAGAGGCAATCTCTAGCAATAATAAGAGTTTAATTAATTTTGAATACAGCCCACAAATAAGTAATAAAAATTGTTTACACCTGGTGCATCAAAATATACAAGGCATGTTGGGCAAAGAATTGGAAGTTGAATTGTTTTTAAATAGTAACAATATACACATCCTTTGTATTACTGAACATTGGCTAAAAGATTATAATTTCATGTTTAATTTCAGAAATCACCAGGTGGTCAGTTCCTTCAATAGAGAAAAAAGTTTACGTGGTGGCTCCTTAATATTAGCAGATAAATCATTATTATATAAAGAACGTAAGGATATTGTGAGCCTCTCTGTTGAACGAACTGTAGAAATGGCTTGTGTCGAGCTCGAGCACCTCATTGTTGTAAGTGTTTACAGACCCCCATGTGCTACTTATGACCATTTTGAAAGGATTGTGGAAGAAGTTTTACTCAAACTTAGTAAACAGAACAAGTCTGTTGTAATGTGTGGAGACTTTAATATCAATCTCCTTGAAACTTCTTCCATTAGTATTAAGTTTAGCTCATTGTTTAAATCGTATAATCTTGTAAATTTATTCTTAGAACCAACACGTATTGCTGGGCCTAGTGCGACCTGTATAGATAACATTTTTACAGATGTTAAGCCCTTGCATAAATCAATTATTCAAAATTTAAGTTCAGATCACTGTGGACAGTTAGTATCACTACCTTACATACACAAAAAACAGAAAAATAAGAAAGTTG